TCAGGCTCAGCACCTCCAGTCCCAGCAGCTCCAGTACCTCCAGTACGAGCACCTCCGGGACCAACACCACTCCCAGCTCCAGTGACGCCAGCAGAAGTACCTCTAGCGGCAGAGCCCCGAGCTCCAGAAGCGCGACCCTGACGGCGACCGTACCAGTCGTGCAGTTGCTGTGAGGTGAGAGGCACACGCGGACGAAGGCGGCTACTCCAAGGAGACCGCACAACAGCAGACTCAGAACCCTCAGCGCCAGCACCCGTAGCAGCTCCAGAACCTCTAGCGCCAGCACCCGCAGCAGCTCCAGAACCTCCAGCTCCAGCACCCTCAGCAGCCCCAGAGCCTCCAGCTCCAGCACCCTCAGCAGCTCCAGAACCTCCAGCTCCAGCACCCGCAGCAGCTCCAGAACCTCCAGCAGAAACAACTCCAGTAGCAGAGTCACCAGCTCCAGCGCCTCCTGCAGAAGGGCCCCTAGCTCCAGCAGCGCGACCCTAACGGCCAGCGTACCACTCACGCAGCTGCTGTGGGGAGAGAGGGAGTCGACGACGAGAGTGCAGCGGCGAGGTACCAGCGGAGCGACTACAGAGACGGCCGCCCCAGGGAGACTGCTCACCAGACGCCTCAGCGCCCCCAGGTGCAGCACCCCCAGACTCTGTACCCCCAGGCTCAGCACCCCCAAACTCCTCACGCCCAGGCTCTGCACCTCCAGTCTCCGCACCCCCAGGCTCCGCACCCCCAGGCTCCGCACCCCCAGGCTCAGCACCCCCAGAAGCAGCACCCCGAGCAGGACCTGAGTCACTAGTGACCTCAACCAGCGTAGGCAAGGGAGGAGGGTCTACCTGAGACACACCTGAAGGAGCAGGACCGGGAGCGGGGAGGGGGTCTACATGGGGAGCAGCTGGAGCGAGGAAGAGCGGCGGGGGGGGGAGAGGCGGTAAAAGGGAACCGACTCGTCGAACGTGACGTCCGGGGAAGACACGGCGCGAGGTGGGGTGGTAAAACTGCCAACCGGGCGCGTCAGGGACAAAGCCAAGGAAGACACAAGGAACAGCGCGCGCGGAGAGCTTGTCCGCGGTGGTATCGCGGACAAAGGCACGAGCACCCCAGACCCGGAAACGCGACGCATCGCCAACCTTCCCCGTCCACAGCAGTGTGGGCGAGGTCTCCGGCAAGGAGACACGGGGCCAGAGGTTGAGCTGATGCGCGGCGTACCGGACCGCAAACGGCCACAGAAAATGGGGGGCAGCCGCATGGATCATGGAGGTACGAGCGACCTCCATGACTAAGCCAATGCGGCGCTCAGCAACCCCATTCTGCTGCGGAGAGGCCGGAAGCGTGAACGTCTGGCGGATGCCGTGCTCCGCACAGAAGGCTGCCAAGAGGTCGGAGGAAAACTCCCCACCTCTGTCAGAGTGCGGACGCAGGACGGGAAACTCCGTCCCGAACCGCTCGCGGAGCTGGAGACGAGCAGCGCGGATCCAAGGGATCAAAACATCAGGGACCTCACCCTTGGTGCGCAAGGGGAAGACCGTGGTGTAACGCGTGTAGTCGTCGACGACCAGCAGGAAGTACCGCTCGTGGCCCTGTCCACGGACGCGGGCTGGGCCCCACACGTCCAGGTGGAGAGTCTGCAGGGGAGCCTCTGTGGGAGGGAACGAGGAGGAGTGAGGAGCGGCGCGCTGCCGCCCCTCGACACAGGGAAGACAGGGAGGAGCAGGCGAGGCTGGGAGGGGAGGGAGAACCCTGGGAAGACCAGAGACAAGGACACGGCGGTGCATGCTGCGAAGGCGCTGCACCGAGGGGTGACCAAGGCGGTGGTGCCAAAGGAGGGTCTGGTGCGACAAGGCGCGACACGAGCAGGGGGCCGACAACTGACCTGACGCAGACGCAGATGCAGCTACCTGAGGGGACTTAGTGGTCAGTGTGTACAAGCCCGACCCCGGCTGCCGAGTGAAGGTAGCCACGTGACGACCCGTCTGAGCACACGTGCAGTGTGTCACACGCTCGTAGGCAGGGGTGAACTGGTGAACACCCGCGTCCTGGAGCGCAGAACTCGCCACCAAGTTCGTAGAGAACGAGGGGAGGTAAAGACCCGACAGTGTGCCGGACGGGACAGCAGGACAAGGGAGGACAGTGGTGGAGGTCGCACGGACTGGACCCCCAGAGGGGTCTGCCAGAGAGACTGCAACCGGCCGACTGAGCGGCGTGAGGGTGGTGCTGTCGCGAAAGAAGGAACGAGAAGCACCGGAGTCAAGTGTGAAGGTGTAAAAGGCCTCAGCAGGCGCAGTACCAGAGAGAGCAGACTCACCAGCACCTGGAGCAGAAGCCTCACCAGCACCTAGGGCAGCAGCCTCACCAGCACCTAGAGCAGCAGGCTCTATACCTGGGTCAGGCGGTACGCACAGGTAACAGGCACCGTCAGCACTAGTAGGCAATGCATACATGGCAGTGAGAATAGCATCATAGTCAAGAGCAAATACATCTACCCTCTGCCTAAGCAGCTCTAGCCAGGTGGGGAGCTCAGCCTCGTCGCCAAACTCGGTACGCCAGGCGTCGCTCAGACGGGCGAAGCAGCGGGACTGTGTGTGACCAGGTGTCCCGCAAGGCTGACCAGCCCGATCACCTGTGCGAATGACGTACGGGCAGCGAACGGGACTCAAAGACCCTCTACTCTGAGCGTACCACTCGTGAAGCTGCTGGGAAGTAAGTGTCTCGCGTGGACGCCGCTGCAGCTGTAGCTGGCCACTGCCAGACGCTCCCAACTGACCAGCTCCAGGGCGACAGCTACGACGGCTACCGCCACAACCCCAATTAGCGTACCACTCACGAAGCTGCTGGGGCGGGAGAGACTCGCGTGGATGTCGCTGGAGTTGCATCTGGCCACCGCCAGTAGCAGCAGTAGTAGTAGCAGTAGCCTAGCAGTAGTAATAGAAGGAGCAGTAGTAGCAGCGCGGGTAGGGCAGGCGCGGTAGGCAGGCAGGCAGGCAGGCAGGCTGGCAGGCAGGCAGGTAGGCAGGCAGACAGGCAGGCAGGCAGGCAGGCTGGCAGGCAGGCAGGCAGATGGTGCGGCAGCGCGCTAACAAGGCAGGTGCTCACTAGGCGGGAAGGGCAGGCGCTCGCCGGGCGAGCAGGGGCGGCGTCGCGGGTCCAGGGGCGGCGTCACGGGGTCCAGGGGCGGCTGCACGAAGTCCAGGGGCGGCTGCACCAGGGGCGGCTGCTTCAGGGGCCCGGGGCGGCTGCTCGGGGTCCAGGGGCGGCTGCGCCAGGGGCGGCTGCTGCAGGGGCCAGGGGCGGCTGCTCTGGGTCCAGGGGCGGCTGCTCGAGGGTCCAGGGGCGGCTGCACCAGGGGCGGCTGCTTCAGGGGCCAGGGGCGGCTGCTCTGGTTCCAGGGGTGGCTGCTCGAGGGTCCAGGGGCGGCTGCACCAGGGGCGGCTGCTTCAGGGGCCAGGGGCGGCTGCTCTGGGTCCAGGGGCGGCTGCTCGAGGGTCTAGGGGCGGTTGCACCAGGGGCGGCTGCTTCAGGAGCCAGGGGCGGCTGCTCGAGGGTCCACGGGCGGCTGCACCAGGGGCGGCTGCTTCAGGGGCCAGGGGCGGCTGCTCTGGGTCCAGGGGCGGCTGCTCGAGGGTCCAGGGGCGGCTGCACCAGGGGCGGCTGCTTCAGGGGCCAGGGGCGGCTGCTCTAGGTCCAGGGGCGGCTGCTCGAGGGTCCAGGGGCGGCTGCTTCAGGGGCCAGGGGCGGCTGCTCTGGGTCCAGGGGCGGCTGCTCGAGGGTCCAGGGGCGGCTGCACGAGGGGCGGCTGCTTCAGGGGCCAGGGCAGTTGCTCCAGGGGCGGCGTAGTTGGTGCAGGGCAGCGCGTGGGTCCCACAGGTGCCATAACGGGCGACGGGGGGGCAGCGCGCCGTCACCGGAGAAGGTGACGCGTGGGGCCGGCGGCAGGCTGCGCGGGCGGCTGACGTAGCGCGCGGGGCCGAAAACAGGCTACGCGGGCGGCGGACGCGGCGCACAGGGCCTAAGCGGGCTGCGCGTGGGCGGCTTACGTGATGCGCGGGCCGGCAGCAGGCTGCGCGGGCGGCTGAGGTGGCGCGCGGGGCCGAGAACGGGCCTAAACGGGCCTAAACGAAGAGCGCGCGGGCTGCTCAAGCGGCGCGCGCGGGAAAAATAAAAAAGGGCCGCGCGCGTGCAACCGAGGCGCGCGCGGGCAGCAGGCAAGGCAGGTGAGGTAACGTGGTAACGGTGGGCCCTTATCTTAGGTCCTAGAGACCTCTAGGCTCTAGATACCATCTTACAATCCTAGGCATGAAGTTGTGTGTGATTAGATCAAGGTTTGGGGACAAGACTAGAGTGTCGAGAATGTTTGTGTACCCCCTAAGGCTAGCCCCAATAGCCTAGATACTAATATGCATATGTTTTGACAGCTAGTGCTACGCTGGCAGCGAGGCTCGGGCTAGTCCCGAAGCGTAGGCCGACACGGCCGGGCCAGCAGTGCGAGGTTTGGCAAAACAGTGCGCGCGAGGTTGGCGAAGTCCCGTTAGCAGTAACGGGCGAACAACGGCTGTTGCTGTACGCGATGTAGTCGGGTTCCGTAAGGAATGCCGAGAAAATTCCTTACACGCAATGACGATTTATCGCATGATTCAACGCAGCCGCAACCCTGCCAAGCCATCCTGACCTCCAACTTGCCACGTGGAGAAGGAGCTTCCAGTGGGCATGTTGTGCTACGTATTTGACGAGCACATTCCCCCTTTGTCGAGTCGCCATAATCCGCAACAAGCCGAATTCCTGAAATCCGGCGGTGCCTCCAGCGAAATTGGTAGTTGGTAGCCTCGCGAATCGCGAAACGTGGAAAAACTCGCGAACTTGGTCTGTACAGGTGAGTTGTCGCCAGTTGGCGTTTTCACCAGGTGCAGCGAAACTCCGCGATTTCACGAGATACAAATACTCCCCTCCAAGAAACTCTCACCACCTTTCTTTCGACAGTCACAATTTTATCATCGAACTTCCCAGTCATGGCACGATCAAGCATCGCTTTAGCCCTTTCGGCAATTGTGATAACGTTTCTCCTGAGTGGGTCTCAAGTTGCAGAGTCTAGGCGAATTCGTTTGGCAGAGACTCAGGAAACCCTGGAGGAGATTGCTATTCGCTTGAGAGCAGCCGCTGATCAGGCTGCTGCGGAGCTCGAAGCAGCTGAGGCCGTCGCCGACACTCGCGCCGCCGAAGAAGCGACTGCGGCCGCCAACGTGGCGGCGGCGGAGGTGGCGGCGGTGAAATCCGCGGCGGATTGGCAGGCGGCAAACGCGGCGGCAAGCGCGGCGAAGGCCACCGCGAAGCAGGCGCGGAAGAACGCGACGGACGCGAAGCAGGCGACCGCGGGGCTGAAGAAGAAAGCGGAAGCCGCCGATAGGTACCAGAAGGCGCAGGAGAAGGCGCAAAAGGCGTTGGAAAAATCTGCGCAGGCGAAGTCGCGGAAAGACAAGGCCGTGTCTGCGGCAGGCGCGCAGCAGCAGGTTGCCGACGATGCGACCAAGGCGGCTGCGGACGCCGCCAAGAGCAAGGGCAAGGGCAACGGCGCGGCGAAGGCGGCTGAGGCGAAGGCTAAGGCGGAGCAGAAGAAGGCGGCGGAGTTGAACAAGGCCGCGCAGAGCGCATCCGCGGAGGAGTCCGCCGCAAACACGGAAGCAACCAAGGCTGCCGCGGAGGCGGCGCGGACGCTCAAAGTGACGCTCACGCCGGAAGATCAGGCGCTGCTGGACAAGGCGGCTGCGGCGGAGGCGGCGGCGGCGAAGGCTGAGGCTGACGCTAAGGCGGCGGAAGACGCGGCGAAGGCGGCGGAGAAGGTAGCGAAAGCCGCGGCGGTGCGGCTGACGAAGCTGAGGTCGGCGCTGAGGGCCGCGCAGGCGCGCAGGGCGGAGGCGGACAGGATAGTGGCGGAGAAGGCTGCAGCTGCGGAGGCTGCGGAGGCTGCCGCGGAGGCAGCAGAGGAGGCGGCGAGCCGCGCACCTGGCTCGGAAGGTGCTCCTGGTTCGGAGAGCGCGCCTGGCTCAGACGCTGCCCCTGGGTCCGAGGCTGCTCCGTGAATGGTGGTAGCAGAATGAGAGGGCAATTATCAACTTAGTAAATTTTGGGGTGTTATTTGTTCATTCCATTCTTGCTAATTCATGTGTGCATAATTTGTATTTATTATTCATTTATCAGTGAAGTAGTTTCGCATTGGCAATTGGCCACTTGCAGCACTATTGCTACCCTACACCATCCAGAGGAGGAACTCTAAAGCAGAACACAGAAGTTACTATGGTCATGTAACTCATGTTCCCTGCACCAGCTGCCTACAGAGTCTTTCAACTGTCCCTGCCAGTCTCACAAACACTACCATCAAATGCAAACTCTTGATTAGAATGCGAACTACGTTAACACTATCCACATCATCACCTGCTTCAGTTACTCCCCCAACAGATGTGGGTTTGCCGCCCAGAAAGCGTCAGCGATGACGTCATCGTGCACGACCAGCAGCTTGGATCGCTTGCGCACCACGGCCCTCCACCTGCTCCTCCACCTGCCATGGCATCCGGGGGAGCGATGGGAGGCAATGAGGCTGCGTCATCTGTGCATGCAATCACATGGCTGCTATGTGGGCTGTTATTATCCGAGGTGAGTTCGAGTCAACTCAAAGTCTCCTGAATCGATTTGTGAGGGGGCAACAGAGGAACAAGCCCATTCACGGCACAACAAGCAGCCAAAACCAGTCAGACTACAACCAAAGCTACTTGAAACAGCAGCACCAGCAGCACCTGTCGTCGGAAGAGGGAGGAGCCTTTGCGGAAGATGGCGGGCAGGTCGTTGTAGTTGATGCCGAAGCGCGTGAACAGCAGCTCGTTCTTCGCATCCGCCAACGTGCCCTTTAGGAGGAGGGAGCAAGGGTGGGACGGGGGAGGAGGAGCGGAGAGGAGGAGGGCAAGCGGGAAGAGTGTTGAGGGAAAGCAGCAGCAAAATCGGCAGGATTAAGAGAAGAGAAAAGGGGAGGGGGGAAGGGGGAATGTACTGGGTGCACGAGGTTGGGTGGGCACTGGGAAGGTGGCACGGTGGCAATGAGGAAGGTACCTTAATGGTGTCCTGCGCCTCTTTGGGTGAGAGGCCAGACTTGACGAGCATCTAGAAGCACGTGTTGTACTGGTTGTTGATGTGACCTGCCACCAGGGTCGCATGGCAAAGGGTGAGACGAGAGCCTGAGGATTGAAGAGAACTCAAAGCGACTTCTAAAAACGCTTGTTATGGACAGGCAAGGCAAGGCAAGGCAATAACAAAGCAAGGTACAGCAAGGCACGGCACAGGAAGGCAAGGCACAGCACGGCAAGGCAAGGAATACTGACAGTCCACTTGGCGCCAGGAGAGGTAGTCTCGGAGCACAGCGGTGGAGGGGTAGAGCACAGCACGCGCATCAAAGGACGGTGGCGCGAGCAGCGGCTGTGATGGAAAGTGGTTGGGCCACTGGTGGACAAAGGAGGCTGCGAATAGAGACACCACCACTGATATCAGCTTGCTGCTCTGGCAGGCGGAGCAAGGGACACGTGGAGAGAGGGGCGGAGGGAAAAGAGATGGGTGGGGAGAGGTGCAGGGAAAGTGAGGCGTTTGGGCAGGCAGAGAGGAGCGAGCAGTGTTTGAAGGGAGGGTACAAGGGAGGGGAAGACAGATAAAGAGGGAGCAATGTTGGAAGGTCTGCTGCAGATGCGGAAAATCTCAGGAAAATACAGAGAATCGTCTGAGTAAGGGCAAGAGCTGGTGGGGGAGGACAGTCGAGCCTGGTCTGCGCGCGCAACAATGCTCCAGTTCGGTTACTCTGTACTGTAACACAACATCAACCTGTTACATTGAAACTCCTTTTTTTCACCTGAGGCTTCCAAGTCACCTGGCTCTTCTCTCATAAAGGTTGGAGTCACGGCGAACGACAAAGCTGGAACAGGGATGGAAACGGCGATGGGAACGGGGCAGGAAGCAGAAAATGGGGTAGGTAGAGGGAATGAAAAAGAGGATAGGAGGAGAGGACAATGGTGTCAATGACTGGTGATCACATGGATGCAGACAGACTTGTTCTCTGGAGTTCAAACACACAACAGCACCGCACCGCACCGCACCGCACTGCTTGCAAATGATCCTCTTAAAAATAGTAACTAACACAGGAGGCGCAGTAAGGTTCTTTGAGAATAGATCAAAACGTCTTTCTGCACCCGCCACACGATCACCCTCGCGCACCTGAACTCGTCGCTCACGCCATACACGAACACGATGTCCGGCACCTGCGCCATGACCGCCGTCGCGGCCGCGTTCATCAGCCGCAGCCCGCGCTCGTCGTTGGGCTTTTCGAACGCGTGGTCCGTCACGAACCTGCGCGGGATGCGCGGAGGGTGGGGGGAGGGGGAGGGAATGGGGGAAGGAGACGGAGAGGGGGCGGGTGGAGGAGGAGAGGTGGCGGGGAGAGGGATCGGGAAGAGGGGAAGAGGCGGACGCTCGTCGTTGGGCTTCTCGAATGCGCGCTCCGCCACGAACCTGCGCGAGATGCGCGGAGGGGAGGCGGAGACCGTGGCGGAGGAGGCGGATGGGGAGAGGTGGCGGGAAAAAGGGGAGGCGGGAGAAGGTGAAGAGGCGGGGATGCCGGGATACGCGGATGCCGGAGAGGCAAAAGCGAATGACTAAGCGCCGCAAGAGGCAAAGCTATCAGGAAAAGAAGCGCGGGGATCGCAGGGGCGGCAGACGCACTTGCTGAACCCCCGGCCGTCGATGCGAATGACGATCCAGCAGTGCGGCAGCAGTCTGTCCGGCTGCTCGAACTGCTTCACGTACTCGTACCGACTGTTCGCCATCGCGTGCCGCGTAAGCGCGTACGCCCAAGCGCGCAGTAGCACGCCCTACCCACGTTCACGTGCACGAATTACTTGCAGTATCGATCCGCGCTCCCGCTGTCGCAGTCACAATCGTGAGATCGCAATAGCGGACTGATCGTTCACGGCACACAACGCCTCGTGGCAACGGATTCGCACGAGGCGGAAGCTAACTGAGCAGAGCAGTCCAGAACGAGTAATCGCGTACGGCGTGCGGTAAGTCAGACGACGCCTTGATTACAATCGCACAGTCTCGCATCGCGTTGCGGCGACGGCTGTTGGAGACAATAATTGTCCTCGGCTAGTACCGTTATTAGCGATTGAAAGGAGAGGACGCGCTGCAGCTAACCCAATCTACAGAACACGATACACTGTAAATGAACGCCCTTGACAGGTAACAGTCAAAGTTAATAAGTCTATCTAGGGCAGTAAAATGATTCATTTTGCACAAACCAGAGCAACTTTGTGGAATCATATATTGTGATAATTTCTTTGTTCATCATCTCTCTCTCTCTCTCTAACATCCCTTTTCAACCCCCCCTCTCCCATGCTGACTCATGCCTTCATCCTCTAATCTCACTCAGTGCCTCAAACACCACTCCCTTACACACACCCTCCAACCCCTCCCCAGAATGCGACACAAGGGGTGACACCTCCACTCCCTCATCCCTCTGTTCCCCTCCCTCATCCCCCTCCTCACCCCCTTCAACCCCTTCACCATCAACTCCACCCCTCCTTACGATCTGCCCGCCAGCCTCCCGGACCCATCGCGCGTGCAGGCACAGCACGTGCTGTCGGGCTGTGTCTGGTGAGTCGGCAGCAGCACCAGGGGCGTTCTTGACTGGCGAAAACTCCTCCTCCCGGGCAACCTGAGGGGTGGGGTGCGGTGAGGAGAGAGGGGAGAAGGGGAAAGGGGAGGGGGGAGAGGGGAGAGCGGAGAGAGGAGGGGGGAGAGGCGAGGAGAGAGGGGAGAGGGGAGAACGGGGAGGGGAAAACAACGGGGGGTTACATTGCATCCAAGAATTGGAAAGGAAGGTGAGGCGGCAGGATAACAGAAGTGGAGAAAGAGAGAGGAGTGGCGAAAGAGAGGGGGTCAGAGGGAGTTACACCAACAAGCAACAGAGAGCAGGGTAGGAGAGTGCGACTGATTACCCTCTTACGCTGGTAAGCTCAGAATTGCAGCCGAAACAGATGCACAGAAGCAGTCACATGGGGAAGACCGGATCAACAAGCGAGAGGAGGCCAGGGAAAGGAGCCCAGGTAGAAGGGACTAAAAAGAAGGGGGATGAAGGCACCTCGAGGAGAGCGAGGGTGGAGGCGAGGGGGAAGACGTCGAATATGAACTGCTCCAGCTTCACCCCCTGCACTGCCCCGTGCACCGACGGAATGCGCTTCACAGCCAGATGATGGCTGGGGGAACAGCACGGCAGGAAGGTTGGCACGTAGGGGGGTAGTGGAGGAGGCGGGCAGGGGGGTGGCGGAGCAGGGGGGCAGGAAGTGGGTTGCGGGGACATGGGGCAAATGGGCAGGGAGAGGTGGAAGGGGCGTGGAGGGAAGGGAGGAGAGGGACTCGAGGGCTCGTGTGTTGAAATGATGCAGGATGAGTGCGAGAAGGGCGCGAATTAGAAAGCACTCGCTCTTTCAAAAGCCATACATGCAGTGTCTCTTGAGAGGTGAATCTCGATGCGACTGAGAGAAGAACGAGGTGACGACGGTCCACTGAAGGCATCGTCCCCTCAGAGATGTGTGATGTGTGACGTGGAGATTTGAAGTGAGTGAAACATGCATGAGGGGACGATGTTCCATCATCTCGAATCATTGAACCATGCAAGGATCATGCAGTGTTGCATGGAACCATTGATCCCCAGTGGAGGAGGGCTTAGCTTAGCTTACATGCAGTGGTGGTCGAGAGCTTGTGCGGCTGCTTGTAGGAACTCCACAGAGAACATGTGAATGCAGATCTGACGCAGATGGGACAGGGCAGGGTAGGATAGGGTAGGGCAGGGTAGGACAAGGTGAGGCAAGGCAAGTGCGAGGAGGTCTCACACAACTTAAACACACTCGTACAACCAGCTGTCATGGGAGATAGCACAACCTATTCGAGTTGTACTTGGGTTTGCCAGTCGAACACCCACACCCACTCGACCCCAGCAAAATCTCCATAAACCCCTCTCAACTGAAAACACGCACACTCATACAGCTTGTTCACCCTTTCCCTCCTCTTCCCCCTCTCTTTCCTCCCCCGCCTTCCCCCCCGCTCCACCCTTTTCCCCTCAACGCACATTGCTCCAGTTGTATTTAAGTTTGCCTGTTGCGTCGTCCACAGACGTCCCCATCCCTTGAGGCAGCTCACTATACTCCATCACTGCTGTCACCAGCTCCTCCTCCTCTCCCTCCCCCTCCTCCCCATTCTCCCCTGTCACAGAGCGCTGCTCGCTTGCCCGTGTGGGCTTCAGTGGTGCGTGGTTGGTGCGCACAAACACGCCCACCCGTTCCTCTGGGTAGGCCTGCGGAGGGGGAGAGATAGGGGTTTGGGGAGAAGAGAAGGGGAGGAGGGACGGAGAGAGGTTGGCACGGTTTAGAGCAGAGGTCAGGCCATATCCTCCACTCGACCCAACGGTAAGACTTCCTGGTCGACTCAGAAGTAAGACTCAGAAGTAAGACTCAGAAGTCATTCCAAACTACACAGTTGAGGTTGCCCACTCACAAAGCAAACCAGCAGCCTAACATACCCACCTGCATCACACCCTATCCGCCCAGTCTCCCATTCTGCCTACTACGGTACTGCCCACCCCATTCGCCTCTTCCCCCTGCCTTCTCCCTCTTTCTCTCTCACCCCTTCCTCTTCCGAATCTATCTAATTCCCCCCTTTCCCGTCCCCTCCCATTCCCCCGGCCCTCCACCTGCCCCTTCCTCCTCCACCCGCGCTCTTACCTTCTGCACCACTTTAGCCGCGCAGTCTGCAGACTCGTGCAGCACGTAGCCCAGGAAAAGAGGGTCCGCCACTCGGATCTGAGAGCAACGCAGGGGCAGGGAGGGGGGGCGAGACAAGGTGGAGAAGGGAGGGTGGTGACTGGTGAGGGAGTGTTTTTGCAGCTTCTCAAGACTCGTGCAGCACGTAGCCCTGGATCTGAGTGTTTTCTGAGTGCGGAAAGGGGATGGAGAACAGGGTAGGATAAGGATGCTCGTGGTAGTATACACGCAGCATTGGCTGACGACCAGTCACCCGGTAAATCCTTAGGGTCGGCGGAACGGAAGAGCAGTGGAGGAGTGGTAGGTTGACGATCAGAGGTACAGCGACATGAAGGTCGTTTTTGAGGCGCCTCAAAAACGACCTCAATGCACACGGATTTCATACGGAGAGGTAGGTTGACGATCAGAGGTACAGCGACTGAACCGCGGGCAGTGGCACCTTGCGGACTGAGTGACTGATAGACTGACAGACGGACCAACAGACCAAGAGAGAGGCGGAGTGAGTGAGTGAGTGGGGGACTGACAAGGGCATTGTCGACTGAGAAGCACTCCACGTGTGTGACGCCCTGCGCCTGCATGCTGTCCAGCAGACCACTGCCCTTCAGCGCTGCACGGCAGGGGGTGAGTGCAAGCACAGGGAGGCGAGTGCAAGCGCAGGGGGGTGAGTGCAAGTGCAGGGGGGTGAGTGCAAGTGCAGGGGGGTGAGTGCAAGCGCAGGGGGGTGAGTGCAAGCGCATGGGGGTGGGTGAGCGAGTGCAGGTGCGATAAATCGACATGATGTCCTGTCCTGCGCTTGAATGTGATCCAGCAGACAGACCACTGCCCTGCAACGCTGCATACCATGCCACCACAGGCACCTCCGCAAGGTAGCGGTTGGGATGGGTTCGATGCAGGAGGGTTGGGTGCAAGGGAGGGTGAGAGCAGGGGGGGGAGGGCGGCTGAGAGCAGTGAGGGTTGAATGTGTGTGCCCGTGCTGCTCCCTCACACCAACCATTGCATCCTACCAATGGGCTGAATGCAATCCACCAGCAGACCCACTGGATGTGGGATAGAAGCTTGACTTGATTTCTCACCCCCGGCACCTCTCGCATGCCTTCAGTCAAATCCGACACATCCAATCTCAGCTTGCCCCTCCATTTCCAGAATTTCACCATCGCACCCCACACCAGGCCATCCCATCCCATCCCATCCCATCCCGTCCCGTCCCGTCCCGTCCCGTCCCACCCCACCCCACCCCACCCCACCCCACCCCACCCCACCCCACCCCACCCCACCCCACCCCACCCCACCCCACCCCACCCCACCCCACCCCACCCCATCCCATCCCATCCCATCCTATCCCATCCCATCCCATCCCATCCCATCCCATCCCATCCCATCCCATCCCATCCCATCCCATCCCATCTCACCGTTATACACGCCACCATTGCCATCAGGCGCTTGGGAGAGCTGCACAGGAGACATGTGCAAACGGGGCACCCAGTCGCATTAGGAGAACGCGGTGGGAGAATCGGAACGAGGAGCGGGATGCGGCACCGTTCTGCAGACGTGCATGTGTGTGTGTGTGTGTGTGTGTGAGTGTGTGTGTGTGTGTGTGTGTGTGTGTGTGCGTGCGTGCGTGCGTGCGTGAGTGCGTGCGTGCGTGCGTGCGTGCGTGAGTGCGTGCGTGCGTGCGTGCGTGCGTGTGCATGTGCATGTGCATGTGCATGTTCATGTGTGCGTGTGCATGTGCATGTGCACGTGTGCGTGTGCATGTGCATGCGCATGTGTGCGTGTGCGTGGGGGAGGGCAAGGCAACAACGTGGGCAGGGCGGCAACGCAACGAGGGCGTGGGTGCAAGCAAGCAAGCAAGTGGTACCGTGGTGGGAGTCTCAAGGATGATGCGGCCGTCCATGGTGAAGCACGGCACAGAGCCCTGCTGGAAGAAATGCACCTGTGCGGGGGAGCGAGGGCGAGGGAGGAGGGAGGAGGGACGAAGCAACAGGGAGGGGGAGGGAGGGAGGGAAGCAGGAAAGAAGGAGAAGATGTAAAGAACAGAGGACAAGTAGCGGGGCTGCGGGGCAGTGATCGGAGAAAGGGCGAGGAGCTGGGGGTTGAATGAATGTGTTCCAAGAAGGTGGACCGTGGAGGAGTGAGAAAGAGAGTGAATGGATAAGTAGTTGTATCGGAGGGTTGTGGAGAGCCAGAGTGAACGAATCTCTGGGCTTCAGACAAGCACATGCTTCACCACATGCTTCACCACATGCTTCACCACATGCTTCACCACATGCTTCACCACATGCTTCACCACATGCTTCAACACATGCTTCACCACATGCTTCAACACATGCTTCACCACATGCTTCAACACATGCTTCACCACATGCTTCAACACATGCTTCACCGCTCCCTGCAGCGCTCAACTGATGGTTGCAGACTCTTCCCAGCAGCACCTGCAGCACACTCTCTCCCCCATGGCCAGGCAGGCAGGCACACCAACTCTCACTCACAGACGATCTGTTTCTCAGGTTCCGAGGAAATCTGAAAAAAAAGTCCAGTCAAAACAATCGCGTCACAGGTTGTAGAGCTCAGCTCACTCCCCTGTGCAGCTGAGCACAACCTGCAGTGCTGCTGGCCTGGCAGAGCGTGGCACGGTACACACAACACACTCCCCATGGTGCGAACCCTCCCTCCCCTCCCGTTCTCGGAAATCTCAAAGGCGAATACTGCAGAGTGAAGCACACGCTTCCCATGGCCGGCCCGGGCACACCACTTGGGCCTCTTGCCTTGCCCTCCCAACACCCCTTTCCCGTGGGGTACCTGGGAGGGCAGGAGACCGAAGTAGTTGTGGAGGGAGAAGAAGTCGAGGATGGGCTGGTGGGTGAATGGCGACGTCATGATGAGCCATGGGATGTGCACGGCCGCGGACGATGAGACAGATGTACCTGCGATGAGGCGCGTAGGTACGGGGGATTGCGTGGGTGGGTGGGAATGAGTGGGTGGGTGGGTGGGTGAGACAGAAGCAGTATGTCAGCTGAAAGAACGAGCGTGGGAGACAGGGAGCGGGCAGGTCGTCGTTGAAAAATATTAAAGACGAGCTTAAAAAAAGGGCGAAAAGGGTATAAATGGGTAAGATGGGGTTGGCCATCGAGGCAGAGATGATGAAGCGAAGAGGAGGAAACCGTTGACATTCCTATCCATTCCCATCCATTCCCATGCACAGAACCCTCACTCAAACTCAACTTCACCTCAACCCCGCTCCCACCCCCATCCTCACCCACCCTCCACAACATCTCCACGCGCACCTGCAGCCTGCACGGCAAGCATCTGCAAGCGCAGCAGGCGCTCTGCCATGAGCTGGAACAGCGACACTAGAGCCATCATCACCACCAACCTCACCCCACCTGCAACCCCCCTGACTCCCAACCTCACCCCAACTGCAACCCCCCTGACTCCCAACCTCACCCCAACTGCAACCCCCCTGACTCCCAACCTCACCCCAACTGCAACCCCCCTGACTCCCAACCTCACCCCAACTGCAACCCCCCTGACTCCCAACCTCACCCCAACTGCAAACCCCCTGACTCCCAACCTCACCCCAACTGCAACCCCCCTGACTCCCAACCTCACCCCAACTGCAACCCCCCTGACTCCCAACCTCACCCCAACTGCAACCCCCCTGACTCCCAACCTCACCCCACCTGCAACCCCCCTGACTCCCAACCTCACCCCACCTGCAACCCCCCTGACTCCCAACCTCACCCCACCTGCAACCCCCCTGACTCCCAACCTCACCCCACCTGCAACCCCCCTGACTCCCAACCTCACCCCACCTGCAACCCCCCTGACCCCCACCCCCACCCCCACCTGCAACCACACCTGCAGCGTCCACAGCGAGCATCTGCATGCGCAGCAGGCGCTCTGCCATGAGCTGGAACAGCGACTTGTGCGACGGCAGCCCAATGTCTGCTCGCCCGGGGGAGGGAAAGGGGGGTAATGGAGGGGCGCGGGGGGGGATGGGGGGTAGCGGAGGGGGGAACGAGCAGGAGTAGAGAGGAGCGGGGGGAGTGGGAAGGTGACGGGAGGAGAGGGGAGGAAGAGCAGGGGAGGAGGAGGGGGAGCTATAGACAGTAGGAGGGGGAAGTGGAGTGGGGATTGGCAGGACAGAGCAAGCACATGCATAACCCCGCTCCTCCCACCCGTCACCTTTCTCGGTAATCGAGACTGGGTGAGGAAGCAGATGAGGGAAAGACGGAGGGACAGCAAAGGGACCAACCCCGGGCAGACAAATGGCAGAGAGAAAGAGAGAGGAAGAGCGGGGGAAACGGGGGAGAGGGAGAGAAGAAAGAGAAGGGAAAGGAAAGGACTCACCATAGCAGCCCTTTGGTGCGGAGCTTCCCAGTCTTGTTCCCTGCGAGGAAAAGGGCATGGCAGAGCATGTCCGGTCACGGTTCAGCAAGTGACGGACGGATTTGGGAAGAAAATGGCAGGTGCCGGTTCAGGAAACAGCATCGTAACAGCATGGCAGAAAAAGGAATAAAATCGCATGGGGCGTCATATGAAATCACATGAACCATTAATGTATCACATGCCAAGATTCTCCACTTGAATCAACCTTCCCACTGCCTCCCCCTCCACTCATGTACACACTTCCCCCCTCAACCCCACTTCGCTGATCCTTCCTTCCCCCACCAATCGTCCCCAGTCGTATCACCATATTCCCCCTTCACTCTCCCCCCCACCTGTCCGCCGGCCAGCAGCAGCACGGCGAGTCGGCCCTGGGTGATGGCTGCCAGGCCCTGCTCCCTCCACTGCTGCGCGCTTGCACCCGATCGCCCCTCCAGTGCACACACGTTCCGCACTGGCTGCACCTGCAGGGGCGCCGAAGGCGCTGATGGGCAACAGCGCAGTGCAGGGAGAGAGGTGGAGCGAGGTGGAGAAAGGGTTGAAAAGGGCTGAGGATGGGTTGGGCTGGGTTGGGAGGGGACGGAAGAGGTGAGAGTGAGGCAGGGTGGAAGGAAGAAGAATGGTTTTGCTCAGCAGGGTGCTCCAGCTCTACTGACGATTCTCTGGCGTGAGTCACTTTTGAGAATTCTCGTCTCGAGAGTTGGTGTCACACCACATCCATGTGCAAGTGCAGCACGCACCCATGAGACTTTGTATCTGACCTGAGACTCTGTGCCTGACCTTCCATGCTTCGTCCTGTGCTTCACTTCACTTAACACGTCCCATGGAGCACTCCCTCCCACACCATCCCAAACCAGTTGTCTTTTTCCCCGCCATCCCTCGTCCCCTTGTCCCGTCTCACCCCGCACGTTCTCAAGCAAGGGACCTCTCTCCTCTCCTCTCCTCTGCTTCCCTCCCATTATCCCGCGCACCATTGTGTGAGGAGTGGGTTGACGCCTCGAACACACGCACTGCTCTCTCCACGTCCACTGCCTGCCGCCGTGCGTGCGCACACAACACACACAGCCAATGGAACGTCGGGTAAGCGGCAGGAGATTGGATTGGAAGCAAGCGGTGAACACGGCAAGGGCTTGCGGATTCGGGTGGTGTGAGATGAGAACTACAGCACACGATCCGCACTCTCTTAGTCCACTGCCTGCCTGCCATGCACACACACACACACAAGCATGGAAACATGGGATGCAGGATGGAATCATGAAACCAGAGGATGACATGGAATTCGAAAAAGGGAACGACAACGGAATTGCTTTGTCTCACTCATCCAGGTCCGTCAACGTCAGTCCACGACCGTCAGCGTCAGTCCATGTCCGTCAACGTCAACCCACTCGCCTCACCTCCACAGCCTGCACCAGGCGCGCGCGCTCCTCCGCGCTATTCAGCTCCCGCCATTGCGCCTCGATATGCTCCTGATGCAAGTCGCGGAGCCTCCGCGCAAGTTCCGCGGGGAACTCACCCCCTTCCTCTGCGCCGTCTCTCCCCGATCCCGCTGCTACCCGCTCTCCTTCGACCTCTCCGCCCACTGACTGCTGCTGCTGTTGCATTGCGGCGAGAGCACGCGTCTCTCCGCGATTCCCCCCGCGTCTAGCAGAACGTTTCTGGTGATTGAAAATTTCTGGAATACGAGGGCTAGGAGGAGCACGAGAGCGGAACGCCGACTCTGTGGAAGAATATCCGACCAATGGCGGATGTCGCTGGGAGGGCAACGGCGCGGGAATGGGAACGAGAAAGGTTGAAGGTGGGACGCTCCAGGTGCTGAGGCCAAGAACTTGCAAATCTGCCCGCATCTGGTCTTAGTATAAAGTTCCAGCACGGTTACCGCGTCCTATCTTTTAGCACAGAGCGACCTTCGCGAAGGTACCGATGAAGCGAGGATGTCCTAGGCTAGAGTGATAGTCGTCACCAGACCAGACCAGATCAGTCCCGCCCCACGTTCCACGCCACGGTCATTCAGCTCATGCCATTAGTTCGGCAAAATTTCACTGCTGTTATAAGCTAAGCACTGTATGACTGAACTAATACCTTACTAGGTCAATACTTATGTGATTACATATCACAAGTTTGGGAGACTTTAGATAGACTGAAACCTTGGGAGATTATCTTGGAGTGGGAACAAGGTCAAAACTAAATCATCAAAACCGTTCTTCCAATTGTTGCGATCAAAGGTTGATCGTCCCTAGGATCACCTCAGGAAGGTTCGCACAAGACTGAGTAATAGTGGCGGGCTATTGACCTCAATAGCAGAGTGAAAGTTAAATGCTTGATATGATTAAAACATGCAAATACATGGAATATAAATATAAGTTCAGGGGAATTCGAAACGCCCTAGCTAGCCATGTACTCTAAGGGGTACATTCCCTTATTACAGCGAAATCCAACCGTGCGACTCAAGACAGTTACGAAACTGTTCGGGTAGAATCCTCGCCACTGCTGCTGCCTGATGCTGTCTGCCCGACGGTCCAGATCGTTTTGTAACTGTACGTCTCTTCGTGTTACTTCCGCCTTTTCGTCTTCAACCTCGGTAGTGCGTGCTTCGGTTGCTGCGGTAAGGAGTGCACAATGGTTCATTCATTTTCCACTATTCGTAACACCCCACTTCACTCCTGGTCGTAGCACGTCTTGACCCGCTTGACTACCCCGCTGAGTTCGGAGCAGTGCTGATACTGCTGACGCGGCAGTTTCTTCATGAGGAAATCGGCTGCCGTGTCACCCGTGGGCAGTAGGTCAGGTCAACCTTGCCCTTGTCAACTTCGTCCTTGACGAAGAAGTACCGTGGTGCGATGTGCTTGGTGTGGTTGACGAATCCAGGTTTGTTCACGATCCTGATCGCACTCTGGTTATCCCAGTGCAGACGGAAGCTCGGCGAAGCTGGAATTTTCGCCTCCTGCAGCAGCTCTTGAAGGTAAAGACCTTCACGAACGGCTGCCGTTGCTGCGATGAACTCTGCTTTTGCCGATCACAGGGCAACCAGCTCCTGCTTCTGCGAATTCCAGGAGATGGGGCCGCTGGGCTCAAGGCGAAAGAGAAAGCCTGTCCTGGACCGTCAATTGTCGGGATCGGCAACATGATAAGCGTCCACGTATCCGATGAGGTTGAAGGATGCGGTTGGGATGGTGGAGTAGCAGAGCCCAACATTGGGCGTGGAAATGAAAGATTGAAGCGCTCGCTGAAGATCTGAGAGATTTTCAGCCGTTGGTTTGCGGGAGTACTGGGCCAGCTGACTTGCGATGTACGAGAGGTCTGGCCTACAAGTAACAGAGGCGAAGAGCAGGCAACCCAGTTGCTGCTGGTAAGTCCGAAGCCCAGCGGGGGACAGGGCTTTGTTGTCAGGCTTGTGGTTGGGTCCTGGAGTGCGGTAAGGGGTGGAGAGCGGTGCATGTGCGATGTTGAAGCGCTTGCCAAGTTCTTCTGCATACTTGGCTGCTGAGAGATGAATGGCTTCTGGTGAATAGCTGATGTTCAGGCCAAGGAACTGCTTCACGTCGTGGTTGCAGGTGATGTCGACGCGTCCAGCGAGGTTCGTCTCGAACTGCTCAAGCAATTCGTTGCTTGACCCTGTGTAGAGGAGGTCGTCAACGTAGACCGTGAGCATGATGTATGCACCGCGGAAATCGCGACGATACATCCCTGGATCGTGAGGCATCTGCTTGTGCAGGTACTGCTGCCAGAGCCATGGCGCCTGATTGATCCCGTAAAGTGATTTTTGCAGCTGGCAAACGCGCGAATCCCTGTTGCCGTATGTGTGTGGCTGCTCCACGTAGATCACTGCATCTACTAACGCGTACAGGAACGCGTTCTTCACGTCGATTTGTCGGAGCGGCAGATGTCGTGCGGCAGCGATGGTGAGGAGTATTCTGACGGAGGTGTGACGGCTGACCGTTGCAAATGTTTGGTCGAAGTCGATACCGTGCCTCTGGTCGTAGCCTCGTACGACCCAGCGTGCCTTGAATCGCTCAATTGTGCCGTCAGATGCGGTCTTCACACGGAAGACCCATATGCCGGAGAGAATCCTCCTTCCTTTGACTGCTGCTCGATCGACGAGCACCCATGTGTCGCGGGATTCGAGTGCCTTAATCTCTGCATCCATCGCCTTGCGCTACTCCTTGTTGTGCGGTCCCGAAAGGGCTTGGCGCGAATTCTTTAGTTCGACGACACGTGGCACTGTTGAGGTGGCGTTCTGGAGCCCGAGAAGCTGAAGTCCAGGCACAGTGCTGTCATGACGGTGCTACGGGGTGACTTCCTGTACGTCGTCGTCGTCGCTTTCTGGTTCAGGCTGTGCTGGCGGTGCTGCGCCTCTGTCGCATCCGCCAGCTGAGCCTGCTCCTCCTTCGAAGGAATCGTCATCGTCGTTGTCGTCGTCGCTGCTGCGACGATCGCCTCTTGTGAACTCGCCTCTAGGGTCCTGCTCCAGAATGGTTGCCGCAGCTTCGTCCTCAGGCGTGGCGTAGCTGTGCCCGTCGTTAGCGTAGACGCGGTTCGCATTTGTTTGTTCATCTTCGCGAAATTGCTAGAGGAAGAGGCGCTCGTAGAAGATCACATCGCGTGCGTGGGTTGTTTTCTGGCTGAGTAAATCCAGGATGATCCACGCCTTGTGCTCGTGGCTGATGCCGAGGTGGATGCCCCACAGCGCGCGACTTGCGAGCTTCCCAATAGTTGATGTAGGCAGGCGGTACTGCACCATGCACCGCCATATGTGGAGCATGGATGTGTCGCCCTTGGTCCCGGTCCACTTCACGTGTGGGGACAGGTTCCCGGTGATGGCGATGGTTGACAGCAGATTGTGCACCCGCACGGCATGGTGCATCGCGTAGGTCCAGTAAATCGGCAGAAGCTTCGACTGCTTCATCAGCGCCCGCACCTTCGTCATCAGTGTGCGATTGGTGCGCTCGGCTACGCCTTGCTGCGGATGCGCATTGGGGAGAGAAATGTGATGCTCGGCCCCCTTTTGCGCCAGGTAATCCTGAAGCTCCTTGCTCCTAAATTCTGTTGCGCCATCAGATAGCCAGATCTTCAGCTTCTCCCCAGATTGCCGCTGCGCGTGCGCCAGCCAGAGGCGAAACACCTCATATGCTCTGCTGCGTGCCTCCACGTTCACAACCCACACGTAACGCGTTCCGGCATCGACGAAGGTGAGCGTATACAGCTTGTCGTTGATTCCGCAGTGACCCACATCAGGTACTCGGGCAGGTTCCGCTGCTGCCTCTTCTTGTTCCTATACGTCGTTCGTCGTAATCAGCATCAGCGCAAGGAATTATCTGTCGCGAATGATGGAGTAGGGGATGATGGTCCCAAGAACAAATGTTGGTTCGTGCGGCTCGGGCGCAGGCCCGAAAGCAGTGCATCGTGGAGGTGAGGGTTCGTTCCCCCAGTCGATAGTGTCCCAGGGGTCGCGGTTTGGCTGGATGTCAGGCAGAGGAAGCGCAGCTGCGGAACGGCTCGGAGGGCGACCAAGAGGGACAATAGATGGTTCTGGTTCTTCTTCTGTCTCCCCCTTTTGCCCTCACCGGAAGCTCCCTAGCCTTCGCCAGAGGTGCCCCAACCGCTTGTCTCGCCGCCGGATGCGGCGCCCAATCCGCCAGTGTTTCTGCCAGTTGCAGCGCCCCAACCGCCGGTGCCGCTTGTGCCCCATCCGCCAGCGCTTCCCCACCCCCCTTCATTAGAGGCGCTCTCCTCTTCGCCCCATCTGCTCGAGGCGAATGTTCCCCGTGATTCTGCAAGACTCCGTTGGCGAAGCTCTTCAGCTTCGCGACGCCCCAATTCTTCTTCTTCCGAGACGGTGAGTTTCGCCGTGGGATCGCGCCAATGGGGGTAGATCTCCATGAACTTTTCCTTTGCGTAGGGTCACCGGAATCCGTCTGCGTCGAGGGTGTCGACGCCAACGCCGCACAGCATGCCCCGCAGATGTTGTGATGCAGGTCCGGGAGAGAGGATGTTCCGGCATTCCGAAGACGACCCGTATGGCTGTTTCCAACTCCAGGTGAGAGGGTCCTTCTTCAGGCGGCGCTTCCCGTTCTGCTTCGACGATCGTGGCGAGGCCGCGCCCGTCAATCGCGCTCATTAATACTGTGGGCGTGTGGCAGTCCCTGCAGATGCCGTCAAGGTCAGGGTCGTGCAATGCCAGCTCACGTGGATGTGGGTGATGGGGCACCCATGGTCTTCCGTCTGGGTGCTTCCAGTCGCGGTGATGGATATGCTCGAAGCACAGGGGAACTGGGTCGATGAGCTCCTGCGAGTCGCTGCTGCAGTCGGGAATGTCCAACTCGAGGATGTAAACTCCGTTCCCATAGTGCGCTCGCCCGATCTGCTTGCGTGTCTTGTTCGACATCATGAAATGGAGTAAAATGTCACGTGTCTCGGGGTCGGTGCTGAGGTCGACCCCGTAGTCCATGAGTTGCACCGCCGAGAGGAGATTGAAGCGTAGATTCTGCACGATTAGCACGTCATTCAGCGTGATGTGCGTTCTGCTCCCTTTGGCCTTTAGCACAACGATGCCTTGTGCGCTTGCGCGTAAGCGCGTGTTGTTCGCCACGGTGACGTAGGTGAC